TACCCTTCGGTAATATACAAAATATTTTTACAAAAAAGATTTTTTTTTCCATTGGTTTCCGTCAGTAAAGTTTTCTTTGTGAAAGGGGCAAGTAGCTTGCATCTGGCTGACCGGGTTCAATCCCAAGCCCCTTATGTTTCCCAGAGCACTGCCAGGAGAAATTCCTCATTGCCGAGTTGGGAATAGCCCTGAGCATTGCTAGGTGTGGACCAAAACCAAAAATAAATCAGAATTTTCTTTTATTTCATTTTCTTTTTTTTAATTTCTCCTTCTTGCTCCCTCCCACTGTTTCTGTATTGATTCTTCTGAACTAAATTTGTCTGTATTGTACAACTTCAAGTTATTTGCGTTGCGCCTTGTCCTGTTTCCTTTTCAGAAACCATGATAAAATAACCTAGTGACCTGTTTATCAGTTATGACTTTCTGGACCTATTTACCAGTTATGCTTTATATTTCATTTTCTGTTTTGGTTCTTCTGGGTTTACATAGTTTTAGGGGACACATTTCTATTTTTCTAGGGGAGACCAACTAATAATTGTCAGGTGTTTCTCTTAAATAACTGAGTCAAACACAAAAATACTGTGAAGTTAGGTAGTTAGAGAAATAGAAGAATAAGTTGAGTAGATTAAGAGTAGAGTTGAAGGGCTGAAACTATAGCACAGCAGATAGGGAATTTGCCTTGCATGCAGCTGACCCAGGTTCGATCTCCAGCATTCTGTATGGTCTCCCTAGCACCGCCAGGAGTAATTCCTGAGTGCATGAGCCAGGAGTAAACCCTGTGCAGTGCCGGGTGTGACCCAAAAAGCAAAAAAAAAAAAAAAAAAAAAATAGAGTTGAATTTCTATAGACTCACTGCTTTATTTATAGATAGAGAAATAAAGACAGAACTCAGAATTCATAATATAGCCAAAGAAATGCTGTCTTCTGTGTCATTCAGTATTGGTAGAGCCGAGGAGCCTGGAACCTAAAGGTATTCCTTAATTTTGCCATGTTGTTACTCAAATTAGCTCAAATAAAATAATATTTTTATTTTTATTGCTTAAATAAAAAGTGTTATTTACTGTGGCTTAGTACTAATGAAATCCTGGGGTATTTTTTTGGTTGGGTTTTTGTTGTTGCTGTTTTTCGTTTTGTCTTGGTGGTGAGAGCTGATTTCATGCACAGCAGTGCTCAGGGCTAACTCCTGACTCTATGCTCCAGGATTACTCCTGGTGGGTCTCCAGGAACCTTATGGGATGCTGGGCATCAAACTGGCTTGGCCATGTGCAAGGGAAGTGACTTACCCACTAGACTATTCCTCCAGACCCCTGAGTTATTTTCTGAAGTAAATCATCATGCTGCTGCCCTTGGAAAATGTTTATAATGGAATAACAAGTAATAGATAAGGAATTCCATGCTCATGGTTTTTCTTTTAGGACAGATTAGTGAAGTCATCCAGAAATATTGAGGTTGAAACTCAGAAGTACTATTTAGATATTTAATACATTAAATATCACGTACTTTAATGGAAGAACAGAATCATCGAAAGTTGATTGATTAATAAGTCACGATGTATATATAACCATCATCATGACAGATGTTAACAGAAGTGGTACCAGTGCTTCTGGAGAAAACTGGACCCAGGAAACACATCCACCTATCATTCACCATGAGCATCATGATGACAAGGATACCCAGCATTCTACAAGCACAAGTAAGAAGGATGGCATCAGAAGTTCTCACTTAGATGAGTTACTGAAGCCATTCCAAAGAATAGTGGAGACATTTGACACTGATCACATCTATATTCACATAGTAATTTCCTCTATTCCCAGATCAAGAAATGATACCAAACTATGCACAATTTCTGGAACTTGGAAGAAAAGTATTAAATTATCTGCTTTCCCAAAAGATCAAAATTTTTGCAGTGTTTAAAAGTGACTTTTTTAAAGCTAATTTGTTTTAAAAGATGAATACAGATTTTGTGTCAACAATCTCTAGCAATTTTTGGTAAATCTCTGCCAAATTCCATTTGGGTGATATGTGTGTTTATGGAAATATATGGTAGATTGTTCTTTTGTTGCTTAGTAGTGAAAACTGGAAAAAAAAAACCTTGACAAATGCAATAATCTTTGGAATTCCTATTTTCAATGAATATATTTTAATAATTCAGTTTCTTTTTCACTACAGAGTAGAAAGGCATCCCTTATAGTCTTTGGAGAAAATTCAGTAGCTAATATGGTCTGTGGGGTGGAATGATAGCACAGCGGGTAGGGCGTTTGCCTTGCATGCTCTTTACTTGGCCAACCTGGGTTCGATTCCTCCACCCCTCTCAGAGAGCCCCGCAAGCCACCCGTGACGTATTTGATATTCCAAACACAGTAACAAGTCTCACGATGGAGATGTTACTGGGCCCGCTCAAGCAAAACAATGAATAACGGGAGGACCGTGACCGTGTCTTCAAATTTTTATTTAATTTCTATGATATGTAACTTTCTCTGTTTTATCACTTTTAAGAGGGTGATAAATTCTTGAATTGGTAAAACTTCGTTTAGAACTTAATTTTTTTATTTGTAAGGATAGAGTGAGACCATGAATGTAAAATCAGTACTTAATGAATCCTAAGACAGGCTCGTTTTTTTTTTCTGAGCACAAAGTTACAGTATATCTGTAGTTTCAGCAATCCCATTTACAGATAATATTTACTCAGTGTGGCTTTGTTTTATTTAAATTTGCATTATTGGGTACCTCATAAAAATTGGAACTCTATAGCTAATGAGTAAAAATGGATTTTAGTTTTTTTCTCAAGTATAATATGTGAAATGTTCAATAATGACATTATATTAAAGTCTAACAAAACCATACTGAGAAAGATAATCAAATTCAGTATCTGTGAAAATTATCTTGTATCAGGACCCAGGCGCTTGCCTTGCATGCAGCCAACCTGGGTTTGATCCCCCCGCATCCTCTGTAGTCATCTGAGCACTGTCAGGACTAATTCCTGAGGGCAAAGCCAGCAGTAACTCCTATCATCACTGGGCATGGCCAAAAAAATTCTCCTCTTTCAGTGAAAATGAAAGGCAGCATGATCCTGGTTTGATAGTTGGGTAATTGACATTTCCCCCTTTTGATATGCCAAACACAGTAACAACAAAGTCTCCAATGGAGACTGCGCCCGCTCGAGCAAACAAACTTTCTATAGAAAATTGTATTTTCTTATAATATTACAATTGTATTTCTCTTACAATCTTTTTTTCTCTCTTATAATCTTATAAGCATATACATACTTTATATTTTAAATATAAAACAGACGATTTCCCACTTCCGTACTATTGTTGCCTAAATGAAATGAAGTATTCAGTAACTTGCAAATAACAGTCCTTAGTTTATAAAACAAATAGGGTCTTTTTGGAATAGTATTTTTTGTCTAAGTGTATTGTCAGTTTTTTTTTTTGGTGAAATATTCACTGATAAGAGGTACTGCCTCTTTTTTTTTTTTGTAGGAGTACTGCTATTTATTCAGCCACTGATTAGCTGATTGAATTGTGCATGAACTCCACTTTACCTTTTTTTTCATTTTTTATAATTTTATTTATTGAATCACCATGAGAGAAGTTACAAAGCTTTCAGGTCTAAGTCTCGGTCATACAATGAAACACCCGTACCTTCACCAGTGCCCATTCTCCACCACAAAAACCCTAGTATGCTCCTACCCCACACCCTCCCCCTACCTGTGGGGCAGATGATTTCCACATTACTCTCTCTCTACTTTGATCACATTCAATATTTCGACTCCAGACCCATTATTATTTGAGATTTTACCCCAATACTCAGATCTGCTGAAAAGGCAACAGTAGACAATTAGTTTTCTGTTGCTGGTTATGAATAACATATGATGTCGTGTGGCTGCAGTAGGGCCAGGTGATTTTGAAATTCTGAAATTTTAACACTTAAATCTGGAGGGATTTCTGTCAAAAGCCACTGGGTTTCAAGATTTGCTCCTGAGTCTCTGGGATCATGGCTGTTGAGCAGCTTGATCAGGAGCCATTCGTGGGCGGTGACTTGGGGTCTCGTTGGGACCGGGAGACCAGGACCGGCTCCAACCCCATGCTGTGAGGCCCAACAAGTTTCGTCGTTGCGGGCCCAAGACTGACTGTCCAATGGCCTCTGGAGTATGGTGGCCACCGAGCCACCAAGGGGGAGCAGGCGGAGGGACAGCACCCTTTCCCCTCTGGGGTGGCCCGGTGACAGTAACCTACTGCGGGGTCCGGTCGCATTTCTGCCAAAAGCTGCTGGGTTTCGAGATTTGTTTCTGAGTCTGGGACCATGGCCGTTCAGCAGCTTGATAGGAGCCAGAGAGGCCGATCATGGGCAATGATTTGCGGTCTCATTGGGGCAGGGAGACAGGACTTGTTCCACGCCCATCCTGTGAGGCCCTGCGTGTCTCATCACTGGGGTCCCAAACCTGACTGTCCAGTGGCCTCTGAAGGATGGTGGCCACTGGGCTGCCAGGGGGAACTGGCCAAGGCACGAAACCTATTCCCACCTGGGTTGGCCCAGCACTGGTAACCTACTGCAGGGACCGGACGCATTTCTGCCAAAAGCCGCTGGGTTTCGAGATTTGTTTCTGAGTCTCTGGGATCATGGCCATTAAGCAGTTCAATCAGGAACCAGAAAGGCCATGCCTCCAATTATATAGCTGAGCCGGAGGTGGTTTGTGGGTGTGTTTTCCACATACCTAACTTTTGGCCGTTTACTTTCTTGGTAAACTTTGCCCCAAGTTTTTGGGGTCTGGCCAAAGGCACAGGAGCAATTTGGGGGTATCTGGAAGTCTGAAGGCACCATCAGGCTGCTGATGCACTCGCCTCACAGGTACAGATTGAACCTGCTGGTGGCACCATACCCCGGTGCTGCCTCTTTTAAGTAGTTACACTTCGCATGGAATGTGTATATTTTGTTAAATAAGCCCTTTATTGTTTATGACTGGAATAGTTTTACTAATATAAATATTTTTTTTTTAGAGGAGCAGAAGGACAAAGAAAAAATGAAAAGTGAATGTCAGTCGGTAGATTCCCAAAACCGTTCTAAACCCTGTGGTGCATTAGAAGAAGCTACAGTAAAAATAGAGAAAGATGATGAAAAGGAACTTGTAAAGCTGCCAGTCATTGTGAAGCTAGAAAAACCTTTGACAGAAAATGAGGGAAAGAAGATTATCAAGGAAGAAAGTGACTCCTTCAAGGAAAATGTCAAACCCATGAAAGTAGAAGTGAAGGAATGTAAAGCAGACCCTAAAGAGACTAAAAGCAGCTTGGAGAAGGTAGAGCCTGAGAAACTGGAGTTTGCTGGCAATGCTAAATCTTCTCAGGAGATCATTGAGAAGTCTACAGAGGAAACCGAGAAACTTAAAAATGACCAGCAAGCTAAGATACCACTAAAAAAAAGAGAAATTAAGTTGAGTGATGATTTTGACAGTCCTGTCAAAGGCCCTTTGTGTAAATCAGTTACTCCAACAAAAGAGTTCTTAAAAGATGAAATAAAACAAGAGGAAGAGACTTGTAAAAGAAACTCTTCGGTCACTTCTTTGAGTCATGAAGGCAAACAGCTTGTGAATGGGGAAGTTAGTGATGAAAGAGTAAGTCCAAATTTTAAGACAGAACAAATGGAGACCAAGTTCTGTGATACAAAGGAAGATCATTATCACCCCTCTAAGGAGAGAAGTGTGATAATGGAAGGAAATGGAGTGTTGTCCTTACATTCAGTCATAATGAGCGTGAAGACAGGTGATCTTGAGGATGAAGTTCTTCCTAAAGGGAAAGATGCCGATCATTTGTCAACTGTCTTGGAGACCCAGGGACAGATCCGGCCGACAGAGGAGTCTTGTACTCCAGAAATGGACACCTTTCTTGAGACTCCTGAGAGGGCAAAAGACCTTTCTTTGAAAAGTGCTTTATCTGCTGCTGACTCTTGTCCTATGAAACTTGAAGAGAAGTCTCCCAGAAGTAAGAAGGATAAGCGTCCTCCCATCATTGAATGTCTTGAAAAGCCAGATAAGTCTAAAAAGGCCTTTCTTGATAAAGACACACAGAGATTGAGTCCAATCCCTGAGGAGGTTTCAAAGAATGCACTAGAACCCCCAAAACCATGCTCTCCTAGAGCATCTGCATCAGCTGCCGCCTCAGACAAGAGTGGACACTGTGAACTATCAGTCCCTGAAAAAGAGGTGAATGAGTGGCAGAGCACAGGCTCCATGGAAGGCCAACCCCAGGTAAAAGAAGCCCCAGAAGTTCTCAACCAGGAATCCACAAAGATGGAGATGAATAATTCTCAGACAACCAATTCTGAGGAGCCTTCTGAGACAAAGAGTTCTATGCAAAAAAGCAAATTTAAATATAAGTTGATTCCAGAAGAAGAAACCACTGTCTCAGAAAGCACAGAGATAACCTCAGAAAGGCAAAAAGAGGGCATCAAATTAACAATTAGGATATCCAGTCGAAAGAAGAAGCCAGAGTCTCCACCCAAAATTCTAGAATCAGAAACCAAACAAGAGAAAACTGAAAAGGAAGAGGAGAAAGCAAATGTGGGTCGTACCTTAAGGAGATCTCCAAGAATATCTCGACCCACAGCCAAAGTGGCAGAGATCAGAGATCAGAAAGCTGATAAAAAAAGAGCAGAAGGAGAAGACGAAGTGGAAGAAGGATCAGCATCTTTGCCAAAAGCAGACAAAAAAGAAAATTGGAAAAAAATGGAGAAGGATACAAATCCTAAAGTAAGCAAGGTCAGATTTCTCCTGCTTTGGAGTTTTAGTTTTAATCTGAATTATTTACCTCTTGATTTTCCTCTTATTTATATCTTAGTTACACATTTTATTCTGGGTAGGACAGACATTGAAGGAAAACTTTTTTTGTTTGTTTAGGTATTGTTATACTTCTGGATATGAGATATCTTTTCTCAGTAGTTATTCACAAGTTTCTAAATTTCAGGTCATGATTTCATCTTATTTTAAACCTTTTCTTTATTACAGGTAGTAAAGAAATGTCTACTGCTTGCAAACTATTAAAGTAGCATCAAACCTGTAGGACTTTTGAAAAATGAGAAATTTCCTTAAGCAGTTAATGTTATTTTGATGTTACACCTCTTTCTAACCCCTTTTTTCTGTAAATTCATTTGTATGTTCTTGAATATTTATATGTTTCAATATTAAATTGAGTCAGTTATTTTTTGTGAGTATAGATAGCACCTAACAGAGTTTCTAAATCCTTCCCATTATCATTCCCTTACTAACTGACAGGTTGTTTCCAATTTTTTTCTTTAATTTTTATTAGTGAAACACCATGAGGTACAGTTGTAGATTTACAATTTTTTTGTGCTTGGGTTTCGATCATACAATGATCAAATACCCATCCGTCCACCAGTGCCCATTTTCCACCCCCATCCCCCCCTGCCTCTGTGGCAGGGCATTCCCCTCTGTTCTCTTTCTCCTTTTAGGTGTTCTGGTCTGCAAAAGAGGCATTGAGTGGCAAACATGTTCAGTCCATAGTCTACTTTCAACATGCATCTCCCCTCCTGGGAGGATCCTCCAAACATCCTTTATTTGGTGCTCCCTTCTCTATCTGAACTGCCCTTTCCTCTAGGATACCCGGCTGGCCTCTAAGTTATGGAGTAATCCTCCTGGTGCTGATCTCAGCTCTTCTTGGGTATTAATCTCATACTTTGTTACTTTATATCCCCCAGATGAATGCAATCTTTCTATGTCTATCCCTCTCTTTCTGACTCATTTCGCTTAGCATGATACTCTCCATATTGTACCACTTGTATGTAAATTTCATGACTTCATCTTTTCTAACAGCTACATAGTACTCCATTGTGTAGATGTACCAAAGTTTCTTTAACCAGTCATCTGTTCTTGGGCATTCAGGTTTCTTCCAGTTTCTGGCTATTGTAAAGAGTGCTGCAATGAACAAACAAGTGCAGATATCACTTCGACTATACATTTTTACCTCTCTGGGATATATTCCCAGGAGCGGTATTGCTGGGTCAAATGGGAGCTCAATTTCTAATTTTCCAATTTTTAACTATACAGGCAAACAGTGTTGAAGATCCTTTGAACATTCTCTCTAGAGTTGAAATTTCTAGAGCATGTGTATTTTAAGTTTACGTAAATTGTTGACTAATCTGTGGCAGTTTGTTCTAATTTTAAAATGCTACTTTTATTCCTGTTGAAGTGATCACATTATTCTTCATTCTAAGTATTCCTCTTTTGGGGGGGGGCACACCGGCAGTGCTCATGGGGTTCCTCCTGTCTCTGCACTCAGGAATTACTCCTGGTGGTGCTCAAGGAACCATATGTGATGCCTGAGATTGAACCTGGGTCATCTGCTTGCAATGCAAACACCCTACCTAACGTACTATCGCTTCCCGCTCCAAATCTTACCTTTTTTTATAAGTAAGTAAGTAAGTAAAGACCCTCCCATTGATCATCAATTTGCTGGAGTTGGCCCAGTAACGTCTCCATTGGAGACTTCGTTGTTACTGTGTTTGGCATATCGAATACGTCACGGGGAGCTTGCCAGGCTCAGCCGTGCGGGCGAGATACTCTCGGTAGCTTGCCGGGCTCTCCGAGAGAGGCAGAAGAATCGAACTTGGGTCGGCCAATGGGCTGGAGCGATAGCACTTTTTTTATAGTCTTTTAAAAAAATTGTTCTTGATTTCAAGTAACATCATTTACAAAACCTAGTTAATGTATACAATGTTCCAATCCCACGTTCTCCACCAGAGTGCTTCTTTCACCAATGACCTTTAAAGTGTCTCCCACCACATTTATTTTGGTTTTTTTGGGGAGCTTACGCAGTAAGACTGAAGCATGAATTGACATATTGTGGAATGAGGCAATAAATAGCATTTTAAAACATTGTAAACATATTCTGTGAATAATATATTTTTTTGAAGATTTTTTGTTTCAATTTTGGGGATTTTTATGAGGATAATTAGTTCTGGCTCTTCTAAAATTTATCTCTAGTTTATTTCTAGCATACGAATTAAAAATTTTGTATACCAATGTGAAATGTAATGAATGCTCTATCATAGATCATTTAAATTATGTATAGCTTTTGATCCTGAATTCTCTTTGAGAAAGTTTTCCTAATCAGAGAGGTGTGTGGAGAATTTATATTTGTAAGATATTGTTTATAAAGTAAAAAAAATGGGAAATTACCTAAATGTCTTTGTAGTAGTTAATTAGAGCTATGGAAAGGCATATTATACAGTTACATATTATACTGATGTTAGGGGACTGTTTTGTGACTAGGGAAAGTAAAATATTCAGCGTTAATTTCCTCCCCCTGAAATAATGGAAATATGTATCAAAATTTAATTGCATTTGATAAAGCTACAGCAATTTCCCTTTAATCTAACATTTTGTTTTTACCAAATTTTTCAATTTCTTAATCTTACACAAGGTAAAACCCAAAGGCAAAGTTCGATGGACTGGTTCTCGAACCCGAGGGAGGTGGAAATATTCCAGCAATGATGAAAGTGAAGGATCTGACAGTGAGAAATCATCGATGGCTTCGGAAGAGGAAGAAGGAAAGGAAAGTGAAGAAGCTGTTCTAGCAGATGATGATGAACCGTGCAAAAAATGTGGCCTTCCAAACCATCCTGAACTGGTGCGTACCTGGTCCAGCAGAGCAGTCTGCTGTCACCAGGAACTGTGGGTACCAGGAGCACCCTGGAATTGATTTTTCGATTAGATTTCTTTAATAATGGGCCTTGTGTGTAAAATAGCCTTTATTTGTATTTCTCAAATAATAACCCAGTTGTGGAGAAGATCAGGTTCTTCTTTTGTTCTACTGGTTTACGTACTGATAGTTCCTTCTACTTATAAAGGATACAATCAGGGCTGGAGCAATAGCACAGTGGGTAGAGCATTTTCTTTACACGTCGCCAACCCAGGTTCGATTCCCAGCATCCCACATGGTCCTCCGAGCACTACCAGAAGTAATTCCTGAGTGCATGAGCCAGGAGTAACCCTGGAGCATTGATGGGTGTCACCCAAAGAGCAAAAAAAAAAAAGGATACAATCATAATCTAGTCTCACAAACCAAAGTCTTCATTCAAATATTTCTCCTCTTGTAAAGTTTTTTTTCCTTTGGAGCCAGGGAGGTGGCCCACAGAGCTAGTAGACGTGATTCCCATGGGTGCAGCTGGTTCCATCCCTGCCACTGCCAGTGAGGAACTGGGAGTGGCTCCTGGGCATCAGGTAACATCTGACAGTCTGAGAGGGATGGAGGAATTGAACCCGAGTCAGCCGCGTGCAAGGCAAACAGCCTTGTTTCTCTTTGAAAACATACTGGTTCGGTACATCTGGGACATGCTTTCGGGCATGAGGTGCTATTCCCAACTCTGCATGCCTCCTCTCCACCTCAGTTCTGCTGGAACCTGGACCCTCCTAGTACCTCCTCACCTAAGCATAAAACTTAGATCAGCATCACTGGGGTGATTCCTCTTGTTTTTTTTTTTTTTTTTTTTTTAAAAAAAAAAACAGACACTAGTTACGTAGTAAACCCTGCTCTCTATACTGCTCCACAGGTAGAGAAAGGTTGAAAGCCAATGGTCTCCCACTGAGGTACTACCTGCCAGTACATGGACCAGTCTGCAGGACAGGTGCTGGTCTGTGGGTGGGAAAGAGTTGAAGAATGCTGTGTTAGAAAAGGGCCATTTTGGGGCCAGAGCAATAGTACAGCTGGTATTGTTATCTTGCATGCTTCCAACCTGTCACCCCATATAGTCCTCTGAACTCCACCAAGGTGATTGTTATATGCAGAGCAAAGAGTAAGCCATGAGCACCGCTGGGTATTGCCCCAAAACAAAAAGAAAAAAGAAAATGGGCATTTCTAGCCAGTGACTAGCATAGTGGGTGGTGCTGGTTTTGCATGCAGCTGACCCAGGTTCTATCCCCAGCACCTCATATGTTCCCTTGAGCTCTGCCATGGATGATCCCTACATGCCAAGTCTGGAGGAAATCCTGAGCCCGCCAATCTACTGAGAGTATCCTGCCCGCATAGCAGAGGCTGGCAAGCTCCCCGTGGCATATTCGTTATGCCAAAAACAGTAACAACAAGTCTCACAATGGAGATGTTACTGTTGCCTGCTCGAGCAAATCGATGATCAGGAGGACAATACTACAGAGCTACAGTGGTGCATAATCATGTGTGTCTGTGTATATATGGCAGTTCACCAGTGCATTCTTGGGCCTACTGAAGGAACACCAGTTAGTCCCCATGTTTTGTAACTGTTATCTTTATTTTCAAGACAAATGCCTCTTAGATAGGGAGTAAAAATAAACAGAGAGAGAGACACAGGGACACTTCCCCTTGGGCGGTATGTTTTGGAGGAGAAAGCTTGGGAAATTTCTCTGTGGCTCTTTTCCTTGGAAACAGGGTGCTGTGATGTGAGAGGTGCAAACAGGCCCTCCCTTCCGCCACTTCTCAACTGGCTTTGTTTCATTTTGTTTCGGATTTTGGGCCACACCAGACAATGTTCAGGGGTTACATCTGGCTCTTTGCTCAGGAATTACTCCTGTGATGCTCAGGGGGCTAAATGGTGTGCCAGGGATTGAACTCAGGTCGGGCAAGTGCAAGGCAAATACCCTACCTGCTCTTCTGTCACTCTGCCCCTGGTTTTGTTTTTCTGTGTATTGATTTTCTTACCATTAAATTTAAATAATGCCACATACTTCCCCTAAGAACTGTTTCTTAACAAATTATGTAAAGTTACCTAGCACAGTTAACTGTTTTGTGTCAAACTAACATTATTTGTGGCTTATTTTATTTTTTTAATTTTTTTTTAATTTTTATTAGTGACAAACTTATTACTTATTTTCTTAATGTTTAAAATTCCTCAATGAAATTTGTTCTATCCCAGTAGTAAAAGGTAATTCAAAGAGGTACAGATCCTTAAATCAGTCTGAGAGTCATTAAATGCATTTAAAGGATCATCTTAGGTTTTTGTGTGAAGGACCAGGAGAAAATTTGCTGTAGTGGCATTTTATACCTACCAAATGAAAGGAAAAGCAACCCTTGTTTACTATTCCTACTATTTCCCTGTGTCTTTTTAAACTCAGTACACTTTTGCTGAAGCAACAATCACTGTATCACTGTCATCCCATTGTTCATCAATTTACTTGAGCGGGTGCCAATGTCTCCATTCTTCTCAGCCCTGAGATTTTAGCAGCTTCTCCTTACTTATCCAAATAGATAGCAACAAATATGTCCAAAAAAAGAGAAGTGAAATGTGTTTAGCAGACATTAAGGAGATGGAGAAAGTCATGTTGGAACACACATAGAAATTACTAAATTTATTTAGTTGCATAAATAATTGCGGAGAAAACCCTATTGATAGTTATGGTGACAAAGTGAAAACTATTAGCAGCTGAAGATTCTATGCAGTGTCTTTCTTTATGTTGTTTTTTGTTTTTTGAGGGCCCCACCAGTGGTGCTCAGAGCTCTACACTCAAGGTTCACTCCTGACAGGACTTGGGGACCATCATGTGGCAAGTGCCCTACCTATGCTCCAGCAAGTAGTGTCTTTTAATGCAAAATGCTTAAAAATAACCCTCAAATCAAAATTTTAAGTAACTGTTGTGTGCTAAAAGTGATAGGGATTTGATGCTAAAAAGACATTGCCTGTAAGGCTGGAGAGACAATACAGTAGGTAGGTAGTGTGTGCCTTGAATGACATCCCCTGAGCCTCACCATGAGTGAAGCTCTTATGTGAACCCCCCCCCCCCCAAAAAAAGACATGACCCTTCTTTTCATTGAACTAAAGCATAAAAGCAATAATCTCATTGAGAATAGAACTCCACGTTTTCCAAATGAATTATTTCCTGTGGGTTGGAAATACTACATGATATTTTTTCCCATTGGATTTTATTTTATTTCATTGAGCATACAACTCCACATTTTCCAAATGAATTATTTACTGTGGGTTGGAAATACTACATGATATTTTTTCCCTTTGGATTATAAATTTTGAAATTTGTTCTAGAAATAAGTTCTTAAGATTTTGTTGTAAGAGATTTAGATTGGGACTGGGGGCTGGAGAGATAGTACAGTGAGTAGGGCATTTGCCTTACACACTGCCCACCTGGATTCAGTCTCTGGTACCTCTTGGTCACCTAAACTTTGTCAAGAGTGATCCATGAATGCAGAGTCAAAGCCCTAAGCACCAACAGGAGTAATCTGATAAACACAATCATGAGAAATCTAGGTGGCATTTTATCATAGGAATAGTGTGATAAGTGGAATCTGCCGCGTAGATTAATTTTATAAATGGCAGTGGTAGAAAGAGGCAGTGGTTTGTATGGATAAGGGCAAAGGTGGTCCCTTAAACTGCAGTACAAGAATATACCCATCCCTTCTCACTTGCCCACAGCCTCTACACTCCCCTCCCCAACAACATGGAACAGATGATAGGCCACTATGTGTGACCACACCGCAGAATCGAATGAATGAAATGATGAAAACCAGTAGACCTCATCATGAACAAACAATCAGAGCTGTATAACCAGTAATAAGCAATACTGATACCACATTTTCCTATTTGTAAGGCATTCATCAAGTCACTTTTGGGTATATATTTCATAGTTTCTTTGTCTAGTCAACTGTTCATGGCTCAGTTGTTTCCTTATTCGACTGCTGTTTATAGTGCTGCAATAAATACAGGAGTGCCAATATCTTTTCTGCATTGTGCTTTTGGGCTCTTGGGGTATATCAATTCAAAATTTTCATATTGTCTTCCAAAAAGGCTGACCAGTCCACATTCCCACCAGCAATTAATGAGGATCCCTTTTCCCCCACATCCTTGCCAACACCAGTTGTTCTTTTTGATGAGTACCAGTCTCTGAGATGTATCTCATTATGATTTAGATTTGCATTTCTCTGGTTATTAATGATATATGACATTTTTTCATATGCTTGTTAGCCATTTGTATTTTTTCTTTGAATAACTTCCTGTTCATCTCCACTCCCCATTTTTTGATACGTTTTGATGTCTTTTTCTTGTAGAATTCTGTTAGTGATCTGTATGTCTTAGATATGAACCCTTTGTTGGATGAATGTGGGTTAATAATTTCCCCTAGTTTGTGGGCTGTCTTTGTATTCTGATCATCGGTTCTTTTGAAGTGCAGAAGCTTCTTAGTTTAATGTAGTCTCATTTGTTTATCTTTAGCTTCTGCTTGCTTAGTCAGTTCTTTTCATCCTTAAAGATGCCTGTTGCTTCATTTTCATGGAGAATTCTGCCTGTATTTTCCTGTTTGTAACTTACGGATTCAGGTCTAATATCTAGGTCTTTAATACATTTTGATCTGGCTTGTGTATGTCATTAGAAAGAGGTCTGAGTTCAATTTTTTTTTTTTTTGCATATGACCAGCCAGTTCCCCACCACCATTTATTGAAGAAAATTTCCTTGCTTCGCGCCATATTTTTTGCTCCCTTATTGAATATTAACTGACCATACACCTCACTGCATTTTCTATTCCGTTTCGTTGATCTGACAGTCTTTCCTTAGTCTAGTACTATGCTATTTTAATTACTACCATTTTATAGTACAGTTTGAAGTTGGGGAAAGTGATGCCTCCTATCATTTCCCTGAGGATTGTTTTAGCTAT